CATGTGACCGAGTGGGATGGCTTGCCGGCCATGTGACTGGGTGGGCATGGCCAACTTGTAAAATGTGGTGAAACTCATTTAACAACGCTCTTGCTTAGCAACCAAAATGTTGTCTCAGAAACTCTGGCATTTGAAGCACGCAAGTCCTAAAGCTGTCAAGTTACAAGACCCTTGCACCCCTAACCCTTTAGGGGGAAAAAACGCAGGGATGTTCAAACTTGACAGCTTTAAGACTTGTGGACTTCAACTCTCAAAATTCCTCTTCTCGCTCTTCATCATGATGTGCGGACGGGCGGGGGGAGGGAGGGAGCTGGAACCGGTTCTAAACAGCACAGTAGATTTGTAGAACCTCTTCTATAGAAGAGGTTAGAACTGGCAGGAACTCACCCCTGGCTCAACCCAACTTTTTTTGTCCTTCCTCAGGTTCTCACCGCCGATCTTTGTCTATCTCATCAGCATAGTGCCCTCCTTGTGGATTCTGGAACTTCAGCCTAAAAATCAGGTACTAGTTTTGTGGTTTTTTTTAACGTGATTTCATGACGGAGAAGGAAGGAGACTGTTTGCTTGGGCAAAGGAAACCCAGCTGCCTGGAAACCAAGGTGGGCACAGTTACTGCATTTTTGTATCCCGAATTCTGTTGCTTCTGGGTTTTCTGCCTGAGGTATGAAATCATTTTGGCTTAAGCCATGATACAACACTGACTTTTCTTGATGCACCTTGAAGGACACGGGTGGTAAACTCTCCACATCAATCCCGTGGTTGAATAAATGCCACCAAGAAAGGGGGATGATGCAGATGCACTCAGTTTGTGTGATGGTTCTAGTTGCGCAATCCGGTTTTTGTTAGATTTGGTGGTTCTTTTTTAGTTGCTTTATTAGACCAGTGTTTTTCAACCACTGTGCCGCGGCACACTAGTGTGCCGTGACATAGTATAAAGTGTGCCGTGGGAAAAACATTTATATATAGTCAATATAGGCACAGAGTTAATTTTTTTAAACATTTTCTAATGGTGGTGTGCCTCGTGATTTTTTTCATGAAAAAAGTGTGCCTTGCCCCAAAAAAGGTTGAAAAACACTGTATTAGACGCAGCCTCGGTTCTAAAAGTTGCATAAATGTATCCAGATGTAGATCATTTTAGTTTTCCTCCCTGAGAGAAAACATTTGGCATCAGCAGTTGCAGAAACAGAC